GAACAAATCAAATATTTGAAATTTAAATGTTTGATCAAAAGAATAATTTGGATGGCAAAGAATTAAATTGACCAAAATTATTCATTTGAATTAGTCCTTTGCATTAAAGTGATTATTAGTGAGAACTGAGAACAAATTGCTATTATATGCTAATTTTTATCAGTTAATGCTATTTAAATCATTAAATATCTTAAAGTGAAATATAAATTTCAGCTAATTAGCAAACAATTTAATTACAAACGAACACAATTTAAAAGTTTGGGCATTTAATTTACACATTTCAGTTCAGTTATTTTTAGTTAAAAATAATTGCAAATCTCCTGCTGTTGCATTCGAATCAGTAAAAATTTATCATATAAAGTAAAAATTATGATTTTCGGAATTCATTACTTATTGAAATTTCATGCGAATTTTCGTCAATCATTCTCTTTTGAAAATTTTAAAGTCAAACTTTGAAATTTACTTCAAATATAAATTTATTAAAGTTTAAAAAATTATTTTTAGGATATTTACGGTTCAAATAAGTGAAAAGCTGGCAAATGTTTGAAATGATAAAAACGTATTTATATGCACTTAATTATTTTACACTGATTATTAATGAAATAATAATTCAAAACTATGAAATACAGTGAAAATTATAGCCTTTTATGATGTTTAACAAACTAATTTCCTCCTCCGTTCTGCGGTGATTATGCTTAACAATTTAAATAAGTTGATAGGAAAATCATCATAAAAGGCTATAATTGGAAGAAAAATGATTTTATTTCAGTAAGTTGTCATCAGATTTAGATTTAATCAATTATTTATTCTTTTTTATAAGATGAAGCAGAATAGTGTAACTTTCAAGATAGAAAAAAGTTTGGAGCTGAAAAAGGTAAGTACCAACATTGTAGGGAACGTGTGAAGACGATGGACCATCTAGCAACGCAGTGCGAGAAAATGTTATATCACGACATGTTTATATACTAGAAGACATTCTAAGATTCGGCTCAGGACTATTTGAGATTGTGCAAGAAGTACGGTCTGAAAGCATTCCCGTACATCAGGAGGTCATCGCAAATGAGAAAGTTGATATCAGAGTCAATACGCGCGTGAGAACAGCCAGTTATAAAGATAAGTGCGGATCGACCGGATATCATGAATGATAAGAAGCGACGTGAAGTAATTCTGATAGAGATTGGCGTCACTAGTTAGAACAGGTTTACAGCAGTCAAGACCGAGAAAAATGCAAATATGACCTACTGGCTGCTAAACTCGGGTCAGAGATGGAATACAGGACCAAAATAATTCCGTATAGGATGACATGGGATGGAATTATAACGAACTTCCACAAACGCTATGCGAAGGAGATTAATATATGTGGTCACGTCGAAGCAATCGGTAAAATGGATATATGCCTTGACGTACTCAAGAATACGCTTGAAAGCATTTCATTCAATCATCGCTATGGATGCCACAAGGATGAAGCAACAGATCAGTGCAACAAATCTTAGCAGAGGACAAATGCAGCCATAGTGCCGTTATACGATCCAGCGCAGAATCAGTGAAGCAGAAAATAAGACTAATCTTCACAATTTTTTCTTATACTTTTTTAAAATCATTACACAAATGTATGTATAATTTCTGCCACAGTTCTGGGAATTTAAATTTCATGCTTTTTGGTCTTTAGCAAAGATTATTAAATTAGATTCTTTTATCAAAATAGAAAGTCTGATATTCTCAGTTTGTTTATATCAAAATGATAAATACGTCAATACAAGGATAGAAAAAATTATTAACTATACGTTTTTAAAAATGACTGATTATTTTGCTGGATAATTATCGAGGATGGTTGTTGACGTTACCTTGGTGCTCTTTTAAAAGTACTGAATTATCCCTTCATTCCTTAAGTAAACTCGAAACTTATCTATGTCATAGTTATTTTTTAGTTTTTTGTGCAATAATTCATGCGTGAGAATGGTTGTTGTACCTTATATACACTTAATATTACTTTTTATCGTTTCATTTAATTTAAAATTTTTTCACTGAAATCACTTTGTTGAATGTTAAAAAAAGACGGAATCATTTTAATGGATTGAATTGAATACTTTCAATACTTATTGTTTGCAAAATTTGATTCCTTATCCGGTTTTTTATCCCCACATGAACAGGTTGGGAATGTGTCTTCACCAAATTAAACCTTTGTATTATTTGCATTGAATTAGAGTGATATTTAGAATTCATTCATGGTTCTACAAATTAAATATCAGACAAAAAAATTAAGGCTTAATTACCGGTAATGATTTAGAATTAAAAGCAAAGCAAATTTAGGAAAAAAGTAAACTAAATATATTTTTGCTGTATGCACTCAGTATTTTAATAATAGTTTTATCTTTGTTCAGAGTTTGTTGATGTAATTAAATTAAATAAATTTGTGACTTGAAATAATAAACTTCATTTTAGCGCTGTAAGATATATCAGAAGGCAGAACATGTGGATATCTGAAGGGTAATTAAGAGTTGCTACAACAAATTTTTTGTGGTAAATTGTGGGTATCCAAGAATTTCAAGTCATTAAAAAATTGTCAAGGATGTAAAAAGTATTGAAACAAATACTTTTAAAGTGTTTGAGGTTATTTTGAATTAAACTTCGATGTATTTATTGCTTGAAAAGTTTTAAGTGAATTAACAAAAGTAAGGCTATAAATGCATCATTTGAAAAATCAAAGCACAACCAACTGTTTTAAAAAAACAAACTTTCTTTTTTAAAAAGGCGCTTAAAAACGCACTGTGGATTTTTTCATGCTTCAATTTTTTTAACTGCCATAGTTACTACTGTTATTTAATGAAGCTAGTTAAAAAACAAAGAAAACAAGAGTAACTGTAAATGTAAATATAAATTTCAACGTATTTATAAAACATGGAACAATTTTAAAAATTCGGTAATGATTATCAGCTGTATTTACAAATAGCTATCAAACTGATCAGAAGAAGCAGCACGTTTTATCCAGTTGCATAACCACCACCTGCTGGTACTTGATAACTGAAAATTTTTATTGAATAATAAATTATTTTGATCAAGAATAGCAAAAAATATTATAGATATATAAAAATTATTTTCGAATTAGTTCTGAGTGTATTATTTGTTGATAAAAATTTTTGAAGACATTTAGATCATTTTTATGGCTTTAAGCATTAATTAACTTCAGCTATTCCTAACTAACTAAATCTTATTTTTTTTAATAAAATCATTTTAATAAATTTATTTTTAATTTTAATAAAATTAGTAAAATTGTTCAGAAAAACAAAATTTACCTTCCACCAATAGGGCTTGGGAAAGCGTACCTGAAAAATTTTTCAATTTCACAAACTGCTTTATCAAAATTATTTAATATTAATTGCTAAATTATCATGGAAAAAATTAATTTTCAGTTAAAAAAAACAGAAGGAACAAATTTAGGCAGAAAGCTGAAAGGGAACTCGAAAAATAATGAAACTGAAATAATTCAAATCTTCAAAACATATATTTATTTTGCAGAAAATTTAAGAATAAAAAGACACAGCATGGATAATTTCAAGCAAAACAAGTGCACTAATATCTAAAGATTAAAAAGTTTTATCCAACTGTTTTGTTTTAAATTCTTGTTATTGCAAAAAAAATAATTACTGCACATAACTGAAAATTAAATTGTAATAAATTTTCCAAATTTTCAATTTTCATTATTTTAAATACTTAAATTTACCTGCAAAATTACTATAGCTGTAGTATAACATATTATTTCAAATGTATACTTATACATACAATTTCGAAAAGTGACCAAATGTAAGATTATTTAAGCATATATATTTCTATATTAAATGTTGTTATGATTTAACAAAAATAGTTGACATAACTTACCCGCCAGAAAGAGGAGGTTGACCACCGCTATCTCCAAAACCTTGAGGACAACAGCAATCGCCACAACATTGACCCTGACGCAAGAGTGGAACACAAGCTGGCTGTGGTTGCACGCAGCAGCACTGTACCTGTGGTCCGCACGGTTGGGCATTGCAACAGCGGGAATTGCCGCAAGCGGTAGCTTGCTGAACTAATGTCATCGCTATGAGAACAAACAGCATTGCAATCTTCTGCATGGTAACAATCTTCAAATAATTTGACAGCTAATCATTCCTCTTCTTTGCAGCAACTCAGCAACCTTACGAAGTTATAACTTGAACTTTATTGAGGAATTTAGCAAAAGCAAATCTCACTAATTAAAAATATATTCCATTGATATGCACAAATTCTGAATTTACTTTGGAGTAATTTTGAATAGTTTCGACTCACAGTAATATGTCAGAAATGAACATAAATATAAAATTTTGAAAAAAATAGCTTCAGAATCCTAAGTTTCATGGTTGCATTTACAAATTACCATTTAACTGATCCACTAAATATTAATAAATTTTCATTACAGATTAATGCTTGATTCATTTAATGAATAGCTCAATAACTTTAATTATAAAATTTGAAAAATTCGTTCAGTAAGAATTTACCATATTCAATTTAGCACATTTGACTTTGATGAACTAAAAAAAATAAATGCTAGAAATAGTTTTTATTTTTTTTAGCTTGAAATGCTTTTAGTACGCAAACTACCGTAACAAATAAAAATAATAAAAATAGATTGTCAAATAAACAATAAAATTTCGATAGGATTGATGATTTGCTTTATTTACTATTTGAGAAAATATTTCGAATTTTATTAGATATATTTAAATTCAAATAATAAAAAACACTTTAAATTGTCAAAAAATGTCTCATCTTTGAAACACTTTAGTAAACTTTCATGATTTTTGCTACGATTATTGCACTGATGAGGTATACAAATAAAAAGAGTTTTTATTTAATTGCTCGAACCAATAAAGCGTGGGAACTTTTAAATTCTTTAGTACTAAAACATAACAATCTTTTGATTCTGTAAAATTTTTGTTTTTCTTTTGCTAAAAGCTAATTTTGAAAAAATAATTTTTATTAACAATGGGATTTAAAACATATTTGAAAGATATCCGAGCTAATTTCCTAGTCTAAAATTACTCCAATTTTTCCAGCCAAATTATTTAAACTATTTCACAAATGGATGCTCTCAAGAGGCGATTTACCGTATTCCGAACTCATGTGTTGGATAAATATAAGAAAAATGTCAAGTTCTGGGAGTTAAAAATGAATTTAAAATCAGACTGCGATTAGTCGAGGTGGTCACTATAACCGGTTATTTAAATAATTTAATACCCAACAAACCATTATTCAGTAATACAAACTGTAATTTTCTTAAATTGTTATAATTAAAAAAAAAAGAGTAAATAATAAAAAGGAAACACGTTCGTTATGTGAGATTCACAACGCACAACGCAAGTATTCTTTATCTTTTCTTTGGCAGACTTTTTTTAGGTTAAAAAAAGAATTGAATGCGAGAAGTGACTACTCGCAAAACTTTTTGTGCCATTACTCTGTACTTTTTTTGTCTTTTTTCTTGCAATGATAACTGAGTAATTTCGATCAGAAATTTGTCAAAAATTACAAATTAAACAAAAAGTTTTAAGAAATTACTAATAACTGTCACTTTTAATTTTTTGTGACATAAAAATAGGATTTAGAGGGAAAAATTTACGGAATTTTCGAAAAAAATGGAAATATTATCCCAAAATGCAAATGCAAATGTGATTAATTCACATAATAATATATGATATAAGTAAGGATAAGATTTAAAATACTTTCAGGATAAGATTTAAAATACTTTGCAAATGTGATTATAATATATGTTATATTTTAAATAATTAAAATAAAATTATCATTGCATATGTTGAATAAAATGCTTTGGTCTTGAATAAAGCTTTTATCAAAATTTTTGCTTCAAAACTTGTGCTACAATAATTAAAATAATTAATTTCAATGTTAGCTTAAATTAATATACATTGCAATAATATCATAGAGTATTTAACTTGTCTTGTGCTATACACTGCAAAATTAAGTGAACATTCTTAAAAAAGAATGATACTATCTTATATCTAAAATAATATTGTAAATAAAGATGAATAAAATTTAATATGATTAAAGATTTTTATGAAAAATAAATCTTTTAATAAATTACTCGGTACGCATTTTAAACTATTTAATTTAAAAAAAATTTTTAAACCAACGTTTTGCTTGATCTCAATTTTCACGCGTGTATTTTACGGAACGAATAAATAACAACAAATAAAATGGGAATAAGCATACAACTACTTTAGTATTTTACTTTTATCAGAGATATTTTGATATACTAAAAACATTTCAGTTTTACAAAGTTATTTTACAGTGAGGTATAATAACCACAGTGTATGATGTAGTAGTCAAAAACTGAATGAATGATCACAGCGAATTTTGTCGTAGTAACAAACGAAAAAATTCTCAAGTTCAAGTTCAGGTAATTATAACTAATGTAATGGTTTAGCTATTTTAAGTATGAAAATGCAAAGAAATAAAAAGTTATTTGTAGCAAGAGATGTTGACTGCTGTGAAAATAATGTGGATTTGCGACTTTTATACCAATTTTTTGAATTTTTTAATTTTTTTTTGAAAGAAAAATATGTAAAAATACGTCATCATGCACGACAATATTATTACTAGCGATAATTGACGAAGCCCGATGATTGTGATATGCCTCTTTGCATGATACACCGGTTCCGTGCTGAGATATCCCGGAGCTGTCGCAGATTCTGACTTTCGTCTCTGCATACTTAAAGCATACCAATCATTGCAGTCGTTGGATGGCGAAAACATATAGAAAATTTAAATTATCATAACTTGTTTTTGGCTTTTTTATTGTGCGCAAAATAATTTAATCCTGTTTTTTTACATTTTTTTTCATTCGCAAATTCATGCATCATTCATTCTTATTTGTTTTCATCTGATGCATAGTTTTATGCTAAACAAGAATGAAAATAAATGGCAAAAGTAATCAAACACACTAAAATATAAAATTACTCACTTTATTATCAAAATATATAAAAATAATATCAATTAAGTATAACATTAACAAAAGCGTAAATGCAAAAAAGGAAAAATTATTGGTTAATACAATGATAAACTTCAAAAATTCTCAGTTTAATAAGCAAATGGAAGGAGAAATTTCTGATAATTACTAATTTATTAAAATTGAAATATGTATTCGAAAAACTATTCAATGAATTTTGATTAATCTCAGGCATCAATCGGCCTTTTCAGCTCGTAAACAGCTCATTTAATAACACATTCATTACGGATACTTTTTTGAAAGAATATTTCTTTCAGATATCAATCAGAATCAAAATATTCACTGCATTGATTCCAGTATAAATTCAAAGCTATAAGACAGATTCAAATTATGCAATCTGTAGCAATCAGTTGGTTGATACTTTTCCTATATAACTTGTTTATTCTATTCGAATAATATTTGTAATTTTTTTT